GGAGCCTTCACCAAAACTATATCAACTGTAATTTTCAAAGTTGGACCGGACGACGAAATAATGGTTACCCGCGGCGGTAACAAAACAAGTGCAATGCCTTACGTCAACATGCGCGGTAACTTACCGCACAAGTTGGTGTAAGGGATTGCAGTGAAAATTTTGTCCACCCATCAAAAAGCCCGAATCTTTTCCCAGTGTCACGGTGTCCTTGATTCAGCTGCCTTAATAACGCACTTTAAATACTTGGGCTGCGGCTGCAAAACGTAAGTTGCTTAAAATAATTATGTACTAGCAGTTTGCGCAAGGCGCTTTAATTGGGTTGTTCACAGAGACGACGAGTTTCAAGTTTTATTATAAAGGATTCGTATGTCAAATGCATGTTTTTGTTTCGAATGCTCATATTGTCGTACAATGGAAGTCAAAATTGTCTTACATTGGGTCCGGGACCGAATAACCAATAAAAATAAATGGCCAGGACCAAATGACCAATAAATAGAAAACGCGCAAGAATACGAACACTTGTTCCTGGCGCATTTCCCAACGAAAATCATCAAGCGATATCTCAAACGAAAGACAAAAAGTTTCAAGAATTTCAATACCAAACGGGTCATCCTTTATGAGATCTAAGAGAAAATTGAGCCATTTTAGTTTGTCGTAGACAAAGCATACGTTTTCTGTGTGAAACTGAAACCAAACCTCGGATGAAAATCCTATGCTATGTCTACGAGAAACTTTAGGTGCCTCGATTATCTATTAGATCTTATGAAGAACAACTTGTTTGGTATCAAAATTCTTGAAATTTTTTCCTCATTCGTTTGAGACATCGGTCGATGGTTTTCTTTGGGAAATGCGCAAGGTGCAAGTGTAAATGTCAGCAGGCCGATGGCCAGTCAAAAATGTGGCTGTTTGAGTACAAAGAAGTTCTAGGTTGCGCGCGTTTGTGATTACATAATACACTTCGTCCAATCTCTTACCGATACAAAACGTTTCCTGAACACAAGCAGCGTTACCTCGCATTAAAGCAACACTGATTCTCTGCTTCAGAAACTGAGTGGACCGTTTCTCCTGTGTCCTCTCAAAAAGCATCTTGCCCAGTGTAGACATTATGTACTACCTCTGTATCTACAGTAACACTCATTTCGTTATTTTTGAACTATAGATGTAGTTTCGTCCGCACTTAGTTGTAGATTCAACTGCGAAATGGCAAAAATTGTTTGTTTCATCTAGCAAGATCCGTATGTACTCTCTGACTTCTGAGTGTGCCGTGAAAAAAGCATAAAAAGTTTGAATGCAAGGCTTTAATTTTGTGGTGAATAAATGTAGTACATAGTACGCAGCATATCGTGGTAAATATCCGAAATAGTTCTTACAATCACAGTTTTTGTGTGCAGTACAGTTATCTTTTCATAGGTCTTTTAGGATTAAAGAGTACGAGCGGCTCCTCTTCGCCATCCTGTTGGAATGGTACGACTACGAGACGTGAGAGAGCACCTGCACCTGGTTTCTGAGCGTAATGATCAAAATTCAAAGCTGTCTTCGTCTCAAAAGACTACTGAAAAAACGGCATTTACGTCGTTCCTCTTCCTAGGGACAGCAATGTAATGCTGGCTTACCGTTAACTCGGGCGTGTTGATTACGTGTCGCTCATTGAGTTTGCTTTTTATTCGATTTTAATACTGCTTGTTATTCAGTCGTCAATGTCACGATAGAAACTGTTTTGTTATATATAACAACACTGTACGAATCAGACTGTCAATCCGCCGCTGATTAAAGTGCACAAAATTTTCCATCCGCTCTCACGTCGTACACTGGGACAGTTTTCTGCTTCCTCTTCATTTCCGTTGCTTGTTTTTTTGGAGGATTGTAAATGCTGGTTGGGGCGCATAGATATGGCCTTTCTTCTACAAAGTACGGACTTCTTAGAAAAGAAACGAAAAGCAGTTACGGGAACCGGAAACTGGGTTTAGTGAGGCTATGTAAAACTTTGAAGTGGCAACCGAGTTAATTTTGCAAAATTCTTACGGGAAGTTAAGCCAGTATGTACTCGTAGTTATTCTGGGAAACAAGACAACACTTCCCCTAAGTTTGCATTTCATACTGAATTGCCCACACATTACACAACTAGCGGCAGGTGGCCGGGTAGCGTGGACAAAACTCAGCACGCTCGAGCGTACTGACCTGCTGGGCCATCCAGGAAGAAGGGGAAGTGCTTACCCCAAACCAACGAAAGCAATACAATAATTCTTTCACCAGGGTTCATTGGAGATAGCTTTGAAACAATCCGTGACCTCTGCATTATTCCAACGCACTTCACCAGCTCATGTTTGACAAACAACGCATAACTTTTGATGCATTATATCGGCGAGAAATTACACTTTGATTGTCCAAAGTATACCTCGTTTGGGCGGCAAATATTGCCCAGGCGAATATATATTCGTTTGCGCAGCATTTGCCTCCAAACTCCGAAAGTGAACACTGGTGTTTATTAAAATTTAAACTTGTAGAAGCTCACTGAAAATGAGTAATTCGCCAGACGCACGTGGATCCCCTTTAAAAACACATCCTTGGACTGCTTAGCAGCTGCAATCACACGTTTACAGCGCATGGGAATTGTTAATCGTGGTAATTATCTGTAGAGAGGGCGTTTCTTATGGTGGGTTGTAACAACCATTAGACAGATCAGAGTATCCTGGCAGCTGGTTAAGGCCAAAATTGCATTCGGTTACATCCGGTTTCCGGTATCCAGCGCGTGGGAATTGTTAATCATGGTAATTATTTCTGGGAAGGACAGTTTGTGACGATGGGATATCAGAACCAGCAGACTGACTGGAGTTTCCTGCCAGATGGGCCAATGATATCTGCACGCCAATACAGATGGAAACAGCTGTGAAAAGTTGCCTGATCGCAGAGCCCGTTTATGTATCATCCGGCTGACCGGCTCCAGCATTTGTGAGGATGTGCACTGTAAAAGTGGGGCATTTCGGCTGCTGAAACAAGTATGGACGACATAAATGTCAGTAGATCACTACGTTGCATACAAACATATATGGAAATACGATAATCACAAGATGTGGCATTATTGTAAGATGGCCATTTCATAAAAAGTGGCAATCGATATGAAAACATTCTTTGAAGTATTCATAAAATTATGAACTATTTTTTTAAAAACTGTAGCATTCATAACTAGATGTGATATTGCCTACGGCTGGCGACTGGCATTCGTTTGTGTACGACTAGGTAGGCTCGATAGGCCTTGCGTCATTAATCAGTTAATGTTTAACCAAGTGCGATTTTCACGCTAATATTTCAAAAGAAATATTAGAAAGGACCGTTGGAGTTTCTCTTGAGAGTCATAGGATACTGCGAACGCACGACTGAATTACACCAGCATGCGCTAAGCACCAAAACCGATCAAGAAACCAAAAAGTAATGTTTATTCATTATCATTCAGGTGGCTAAGTACTAAGTGGCTCGGGAACACTTCTTTTTGCACGAAATCTTTATGGCGATTAGGAAATTTTCGAATTATTTTCTTAAACGGTAATACGAAGTACTTTTAATCGACGAGCGGTTAATCAGTAACAGCAGGTCGCTAGCAGTTAGGTTATCTGAGAAACAAGTTGGTGACACTGCACCGGCACGCGTTTTTGGGTTCCTTTCACCGAATTTTCTATTTATTCCGTGAAAAATTCTCACATCCAACGATTTTCTTAGGTATGCATCAGTATTGTTGAAACTTTTAAAAAACCGATTAAAACCCAACCAGTTAAAACTTCTTGAAACATTTCCTAACCGCTTAGCAGATGTTAAGCAGCGCAATAGCGGGTATTTGCTTTGCGCGAGTGAACTGGACAATTAGCCGTTGCTGCGGGCCACAGCAAAGAATGGTTTGTTGCGGACACGCGAGCGCATTCTGCGCAGCAATGTCCGCAAATTCAATTGGCTTGCCAGGTCGAGTACGCTTATTATCTGGTGGACAACACATCCAAATTTGGCGCAAGTAAGCACGGTTTTTTGCCGTATTTATTGGTGACTATGCGATGTACGAAAAGTGCAGAGAAAACAGTTTACCCACCGATTGCTTCGTGTGATTATACAGAGTATACAGTCGGTAATAATAAAATTTGTTGTACTGACAATCGTTCGTGACTTCCTGTTGCTGCTAAATTATTTTCGCAAGCAAACCACGCTGAAGTGGGTATAATGTCGTTTTACCTCAACTGGTGTTTTCTGTAAATAATCACATGGTGTGTTAAGGCTGACAGTGATGGTTATGCTTCCATGTGTTTTATTCTCCACTTGCTCCGTCCAACTAAACTTTGTTGCAGATATCTTGTTAATGGTGATTAGTATATTCTGCTTGCCCAGAAAAAACGTTTTCGTTTACCATTCACATTCGGAAGCGTATTTCAGCATTCGCATACTGAAAGCGATCCGCTCTTGCCGCTTGTCATGCAGTGCACATCGCTTACAGGATGGGGATGCTGAAGCAAAATGGGTTTCCCTTGGATCTTTTAGACAAGGGATCATTTAGGACTTATCTGTTGATGCGCTGCTGCGCAGAAGATTGCTTATGTATATTTTGATTGTTCTGGTTCGTTGCGAGTTCAGTATGTTGCTACAAGGGAATTCACACATCGGTAACAAGAGGAGCTGGTAAACTAAGAAAATCAATATTTTTTCTTATTATGCGGTAATTATTTGTAGACGAGTGTACAAACAGCCGATATTTTACGGACTGGACACTGTTGTGTTCACTGCACAGATAGAGATCTAGAGTACACCACAATTTGTAAAGAATTCGCAACAGTTAAGCAGAAACCTTCTGAGGCTGATGATCGCCAGTAAACAAAACAGGCAATCCCTTCTGATAATTCTCCATCGCACTGACCTTTAATCGAGGAAACGGGCTGACTGTCGTTCGACGGATGCAGTCGTCACTGGCCACGCACACAGTCTTAGAGATAGGATGTTAATTTTCTGATGCATCTTTTCTCTACAGCTGGTTACGTGGAATTCAGATGATTTGTAGATTTCAGAAAGAAGAAAAAAAAAACTAACGTCAGGGGTAGCACTAGATCTGTTAAGTTACCGAAAAAATGTATTACTAATAAGCTACTGTCCAAGTATCCACAATGCGAGCCTTTGCGGTTATATTCAGAAACTTGTTGAGGCCATCGAATGTTGGATAGCGCCACAAACGCCAGTACGATCCGCTCTTCGTCTTGGGAGTCGATAGTGCGAAGTAGAATCTCGAAGTATCGCCTCTGCCAAAAGAAGGCCATATCGTTAAAAACAATTTCATGCAGAGTGGATTTTATTAGCATAGCATCGTTAGGAAAGAATAGCATCGTTCAAGTCCTTCATTGCGCACAACGTCACCGCTTGATCTGCACTCACCCATTAACAGTCTTCCAGCCATCTCTCCACTCAGTCAGCGTTAGCGTCAGTGTCATGTCATCCATTGTCACGGGATTTGCTGCGGCAAATGCTTGCTGTACAGCTTCCAGTATTTGATCAGGACTCTGCCGAAAATCAGTGCGAACGTAAACTAATATACGGTAGTTCATTTTCACTTTTGTGACATTTTCACTTTTGTGGGTGTGGCTTATAGGCAGCCTTGAAAAATGCTTCATCTAGTGTATTCATACGTTCACGTTCATTCAGATTGTAGTTACTCTCACTCTCTTACCAACGTTTCTACTTTCCAACCGTTGACCAACGAGTGAGTGCGCGATCGCAGCGGCTTAACTGGTTCAACATATAAAGTAAAAGCGCTTTTCAAGGGACATAACGTGTCTTCATCAAAGTACAAATCCTTTTCCGTGTCACACTTTTGCAAAGTCACTGATTTTATTGTTTCCTTTAAGAGACTGGGAAGGGGAGAATTTGTCAGAGTGTACACGAATTTTGCGGTTGGCAGCTGGAGGCCATTCAGTTTGCGATAAATGTTGTTAGCGTACGGCAGTCTGGCATCCAGGTTGATGTAAAAACCATGTTTGTGGAGTGTCACAAAAAAGTTAATTACCCAACCGTCAGGATCAAAGTTCCACAAGTGCACCGTCACCCAATGGCGATCATAGTCGAAACCTGTTCAAATATCGTGGTAAAACTTGAAAATTTTCGTCAGAACAAAAGTCTACCTGTGTCATTTTTCCAAGTTTTCTGAAATTCTTCATTCAGGCGTGCAGCCATTGCCGTTTCCAGCATTGGCAAAAGCTGGATAGCCATCGAATGGTCAAGATGCATGCGGAATGAATGAAGAGGATTCAGTGGCGCTGTTTCTATAAAGCGGGCATTTGAAGGGAAAACCTCGCCATCACCAGCGCTGTCTAAACGTGCGTAGTAGCGGTCGGTATCATTTGCCAGCGGTGTCAGGTTAATGCTCTTGTACACGAGGGCTTTTTGTTTCACGAACAACTTGAATTGAAGCGGCATGACCTTTATCCTGTAATCCCAGCCGCAAAATATTTCGCTACTGTACAAATAAGTTTCCTGGTATTCTTACTCAAAAAATGAGCCGTTTTCTCGCATGGGCGCTATCCAAGTGGCGAACGGACTGAAATGGATTTGCACATCACCCATATCGGCATCGCCGCAACCCTCCTCCATTCGCGCCTGTCGCACTTGTCCCAGTAAGTCCTGTGGTAACAGGTCAGTGTCAAACTTCCCGGAAGAGGAGTTAATTCCAAGATACAGCTGCCCTCTCCCGGCATTGAAGCTGCCCGAAAAGACTGGTCCCAAGTATACAGTCAGTCCTTTACTCCGCAAACGCTGACAGAATTCTTCACGAGCAGGTAGAGGGATTCTCGGTAGTTCATGGTAAGTCGTATTGCGGGCAAATATCCACGGATATGCTGATGGAAGTTTTGTGAAATTTGTGGGAATAGCGGCAGGGGAGACAGGTAGCGTGTACACAATCCGCATAACTGGTGACCTGTGCAATGTCAGCAGTAAACACAATTCTGATTGTTCTGCAAATCGTGCGAAGGTGAGAGAAAATACCCGTTAGCCGAAAAGAACGGACGATCATCGTCTATCTGCACGATTTCGACGTGGGTGGCTGTCCAGTTGCCTTTTTCTATCGTGCACAGCCTCATTTTAATTGAATTAAGTAATTTATGTCGTTATAATTTCTGCATTGGTTCTTTTTTGTACTTCTTCCCGGTGTACAATTTACTGGCTTCGCTTTATGATCTGCAATACGCCTCATAAAATTGTATTGTACTTATTATCAGAACTGATAGAAGCACTACGTATTAAAATTGAACAAATGCATAACTAAATATTGTAATAAACCTTTTATACCGTTCCTGTGCAAGAATAATTATAAAAAGATGTCCGCGTAATACCAGACGCAAATACATACTTTTGTTAATGCGCATTGCGCAGTACACTGGTTGTGCTAATAATCCCCCTTTCGAGATCTTACCGAAACTTGGTAACCACGCAAACGTCAACGCATCTTGTATTTCGGTTACCGTGGCATTGCTTAACTCCAACGTCACCAAATGAGAACCGACGAGAGGTCCCAGTTCAAGATAGCTGGCGAAAACCAACACGTTCCATTCCGTTCGTACGTTAAAAGCTAATGCATTCGCGCCCCGTAGAAAAAAGAGTTTTTCATAATGCTCCGTTAGCTTTTTATAGAAAGTGGACATGTTACGAGGTATTTCATCGCCTTCGTGTCCCTGGGTAATATTCACCATCTGCTCAATAGGCACATTGGGGCAAACACTCAGCGTAGCCGCCTGCGTCTCTTCCGGCTCTAAATAGAATAAAACTACAAAATTCTATGGCTAACCAGGAAACTGGATACACAACACACACACACATACTGTACACGGACGTACAGAGTATAATTTAAGTAAGGATTTAAGTTTAGCCGATGCTGCGTGCACGGGAAAACACGGGCGTGGGCTGCTTTAACGGGCAAATTCTTTTCGTTAAAATCGCTTGAAATAAAAAGAAACATTTTTACAGCCGATTTTCAGGTCGGAAGATAAAGGCGGAAGCGCAGCGTTTATGAGGTCATTTAATGGTGTTAGATAAGGGGAAAATGGGTGGGTGCGATCAGGGAACGGTGTCAAATTCAAAAGTGCGTTAATTAAAGTGGCTCTGCACTATCGCAATGGCCACTGCATTTGTTTAAAGTCTTGCACAGGGAAAGACAACATTCCAAGCGGAAATAATGTGAGGTAATCTGAAGGTCGCTTTCTTGGTCATAAACATCACGCCATTACCTTTTCCCTTGTTAACAAAAGCCGGAAAACAAAATTTTTTGTAGCTGTACCTCGATTGTGGCATACCACAAAATAGGCCACAGCATCTGCTGGAAAATCAATATTCACTGTTGCATAGAATGTGAAAAGAAGTTTATGAGTACGAAATTATAACTTACAAAGTAAAATTCAAAAATATGCTGTCCTAAATGTAAAAATCCGTGTACGCAGCGAAAGCCCGTGGCGATTTCCCGTGCACGGAGCCAGCACCCATGCGGACACATAAAGGTCACCCGTGCACGCAGCCATAGTGTTTAAGTTATGCACCTACGCTGATCTTGCCCGAAAATCAACGTGTCGTTCGTCCAAGCTTTTGAAGCCTCATTGATGGCCTTGATATGACTTTCCGATCGGCTGGGTACAAATAAAAGAATCGAAAGCAAACAAAATAACGCGACAAGGGAAGCGGAGCGAAACTGCGCTAGCTGTTCGGAAATATCATCCATGTTTCAAGAATAACAGTCCAACCGCATTCGTCACTTCGAGCACGATTATTTAATACTTTAATATGCTGGCAAGTGGTAATCTTTCATCCGCTTGCAGAGCCTTTAAATATGTTATACATAACATTTCTACAAAAAAATGTCAATTATGTCACGATGACTCACATACATGAGGCCACCACGTGCCCGTCAAGGTCGAACGCCAAGGACAATGCAGTCATAACTGCGTCATAATTACTCATTCTTGCATCATAATGACATCATAGGGATGATTCACGATCACACCCCAACCGGCTTCGATCCATATATAAAGAGCCCACCAAAGACATTCAATTCAGTCCAGTATCAGTCGAGTATCGTTCTGTCTAGTGATCACTTCTAATAGTATACTGTAGTGGGTAATGGTCAAAGATTATTAAAAGGTCGTGTACACCTGGTTGTTTGGTTCATTTGTAATCTACATAGGTACTGGTCATCGTTGACCTTTACACAGGACTCATATACACACAACACACAGAATAGGTCACACACAGGTAAAAGAACTCGTCACACCATTGTTGTGACAAATTGTCGTGAAGGATGAACCTGTTAGTGTGACCTTTGAATGGATTGAAGTTATATGTTATTGATTTATATTGGATTATTGTACTGGATTGCTGGGAAATTTATTAAGTGCACAATTATTAAATGAATTTTGTATAAGTTTTGGATTTGTCCTCGAGGAAATTTTCAATACAAGCCCACTTGCGGCACAGGTATTGTAAAGTGGTCCTACTGACCATAGGTCACTTTCATTACAGATAGTCGCAGACGACACAGGTATCTGTCTGTTGTTGTTACCTGGTCCGTAATAGCGCAGCTGCATACAGATAGTCGTATGATTTTGATTTGAGCCCGTGGTAAAGATGATTTTTACTGAGTCCGTGGTAAAGTGTGAAATATTTGAATTATTTTAATAGTTTCCATTTGATCTTATTGTAAAATTTAGTTTGTTTTAAGGTATTACTAAATATGTAAAATTTAGTGAAAAGAAGACTACAAATCTATCTGAACGGAATAACAAAAACAACGAATTGCTGAACTGAAATAAGTTAAAAAAAATTCCGAACAAATTAGCATTTTTATTTAAAAGTACTCATTCTATGAAACGATAATTATTGTGATTGGTGTTACTTGGACAAAACAAAAAAGCAGTTTACTCATTATGTACACGATTTGCTGACACCAACAATCAGTGCCTATATGGTTTCACTGATGCGCAAATAGTAACACTGTGCAAGTTCCCCGCATAGTCGTATCATACGGGTTCGCTGGAGCGATCTTTGGCCGTGGTCTGTAAGATACTAGTATAGAAGGGCGTAACCGTGATCGATGCAAGCTAGCGAAGCATAAAACGAGAGAATTCCGATATGCCTTAATATTACTGATTTTGCCAGCGGCAAAATAATTATTTAAATAAATTGGTATAAATCTGGTCGGTACAATAATATTTATCGAAAAAATTGCAAAATTTTTTTTATTAATTATTAATTAAACTTGCGCCTAAAAAACCGCAAGAACAGCGTAGTGTTTTAAAACATAGTACAGTTGCCGAGCGCGTTTCAAACAGACTAAGGAACCTGCCACCACCAATAGTACCAGAAGAACAGATTAATAGTAAATATTGGAATCCTGGAGGCAACAGTAATTTAGTAAAAAAGAAGCATACCAGAAGTGAAAAGAGCTTCAGATAGAATAAAAAACCCCCGAAGTCTCCCCTGACACAAGCCTTGAAGAAAATTTGGAAGAAAATCTGGAACAAAAAACTAACGAGGACCTTATTGAAGGAGACGAAAAAAAAGAGAATTTACACGAGACTGCGTTCATAGAGGACGTTCGTGAAGAAGAATCGGACACCGAAAATTTTGAAGAGAATAATTTGAAGGATAAAGAGGAGGATTTAGACAACGGAAATTTACCTTTAAATCAAGATCAAGTGGAGGACGACAATTTCAACGGTCAGGAAGAATTTCAAAGAATGGCAGAGGGACCAAAGATTAAATTACCGCCTCCATTTTCAGCCGCTCCACATGAAGATGCGGAAACTTGGCTAGAATCTTATCTTCGATGCGCCGAGTCGTATGCGTGGACGATGCCACAAAAGCAAGAAGATTTCCGAAGTCTTAGCTGGTACCGCAAGAAAATGGATCAAAAACCGTCCAGTTAATGCTGCAGCCGAATGGAATGCAGTAGAAACAGAATTTCTCAAAACTTTTGGAAAAGTCGGCACACCAGAGCAAGCCATCGATATGTTGATATCGAGGCAGCAAGGAAACGATGAGGATTTTCGGACGTATTACTTTTCCATCCTGGACTTATGCAAACACGCCGACGCAAATATGGACCAGACAGAAAAAGGATATTTTATTCTAAAAGGAATGCGGGACAAGCAAACAGCGATGCAGTTACGCATCATGGGCAAGAAAACACCGAAGGATATTTTAGAAGTAGCTGAAGAATTGTATCCTGTGAAATACAGGACTCGTGAACAAAATATTGAAACACCAGCAGTATCTTTAACCCTGCCTTTTGCAAATGCAACAAAGAAGCATTCCACGGAAACTGATGAAATGACGAAAAAAATTGATGAGATTTTAGAAAAGTTGAACAAAATTGTAAACATGGAATTTTCGTCTGATTTTCCCAACAGAAGAGCAAAAGACCGCTCTACACAAACGAAAGTCGAATCGGAAGAAACAGACTATGGTGAAGCAAGCTGCTATTACTGCGGTAATGAATTACCGATGCACAATGTCTATCATCTTCATTTTGGCATCGATCAGACATATCAAATACGTGCCGCAGAGAAAAGTCAGTACCGCATGGCAACGGAAAATATTTCGAAGTAGTAAATTAAGCAGAAGATGTATTACAGAATGCATTGCATCATAGAATGGTTAAGCAATGATTGTTATTATATTCATACCGTATTTAAACAAAGGTTTTCAGTTAAAGTTTATTTTCTAATATTCATTCATGTATACGTTTTACTGTTGTTTTATAATGATTTAAGGAACCGAAAATTATATTTTTTGAGCTACACATTATTTTGAGTTGAAATAGTTTATTTTATTTGTGAAAAGAGCGATGACAGAGAAGCTCTTATATATTGGTGAGCATATATCTTATTTCTTTTCTTTATTATCTGGCAAACCTGTTACTCGTTCTTCAGACTCTATTTTGCTTGCATTTTTTGTCTGCTATGATGACTTTATATTTGCATTAATTTGCTTGTAGTAATTTTTAATTGCTGTTTTGTGTTTTTTATCTGTTTTGTGTTTTTTCTGTTTGTTTTTGTGTTTTCTTTGTGATACCTCAGTTTTCTCACGAGAGCATTGTGCGCATGAGTTTGCTAGCTTTTCTTTGACCATGATTTTCCTGAAAACCACCCTATCGCTACGATCAGAATGATTGGATTACTCGAATACCTAACAGAAATGCTGGATATAATTCACTATTTGTATTATTATGAATTTTTGTTTGCGTTTTATTAATTTTGTGACCTAAAATTCTGCTGTATTTATGTTTTCAAACTAGTCTTGTTGAGCCCACTACAGTCTGTAAAATGAATGCATAATCTAATAACATGTTGTATAGTAACTGAACTCTTATATTTATTGTTTTTGTTAATTCTTCTAAACCTTTATCACATCCCGCTTTATTCGCCAGAGACGGCGAATTTCAAAGAGGAGGATTGTCACGATGACTCACATACATGAGGCCACCACGTGCCCGTCAAGGTCGAACGCCAAGGACAATGCAGTCATAACTGCGTCATAATTACTCATTCTTGCATCATAATGACATCATAGGGATGATTCACGATCACACCCCAACCGGCTTCGATCCATATATAAAGAGCCCACCAAAGACATTCAATTCAGTCCAGTATCAGTCGAGTATCGTTCTGTCTAGTGATCACTTCTAATAGTATACTGTAGTGGGTAATGGTCAAAGATTATTAAAAGGTCGTGTACACCTGGTTGTTTGGTTCATTTGTAATCTACATAGGTACTGGTCATCGTTGACCTTTACACAGGACTCATATACACACAACACACAGAATAGGTCACACACAGGTAAAAGAACTCGTCACACCATTGTTGTGACAATTATGGCGTTGAATTCCGGTTATTCCGTTACTGAAAGGTAATCACTCAGAGACACAAAAGATTTAACCATGCTTAGTATTACCGGTCTTACAGAAATCACCCTTTCATTCTGACTACAATCGTTGCAAAGCTATCTCAAGCGACTAGAGATAAAACAGCCTTCACTGGTACTCATTTCAATTGTCATGCATACCATGTACAACAGCAGATCAAAGTACCTGTTTTTGAATATTTTTCTTTTGTTAGCAGAAAGTACCGCGAAATGACTGGAGTAAAACCTCGTTCCACCGACTATTTGAGGAAGGTTCCTTTTGAAAGCAAGCTGCTTGGAAAAGAAATTCATGGTACAATCGTCTGATATACAGTACTTCTGGTAATTACAGAACGAGTAGTGAGCTTAATTGCTTGTAGAATTTTAAGCAGTATTCAGAACCAGGTATCGATCATAAACGTTTTTTATAACCAGCGATGGAGCGATTAGCAACCAGACTTTGTTTATTCCAGAGCCACTTCAAATTCGAACTACCCTATAAATAATCAGAAAAATGTGACACTCCAGACTGGCGATGGAAGTAAAAACATGTTGCAAACATTCTACTCTGAGAACAGCCTATAACCGTGGACTGTGAAAGAGTCCAGGACGGAAGCCCAGACTGACAGGACTCCGTGTAATGTAGAACGTGACTCACTAGGGATAAAATGCACAACGCACGATATCCAGTCTACGTTATACAATTTAATAGCGTCTTCGATCGATCATCAAAACACACTGACGTTCAATGCTCACCGAGCTAACGTCTACCAGAATTCTCACATCTAAACTGCACGGCGCATAGTGAACACAGTGAACAGCAGCCGTCAGCCAATCAGAAGAGAGCCACGCCACAGACGGTAATT